AGGAGTGTCTGTCTGTGGAGTGCACTCCCCAGAGCTTCCTGGTTCAGGGCAGACCTCCTGACTCTCCCTGGAGCTGGGCCACAGTCTGTTTAGGCCTTTGCAAATGCGGGTCGATCGGGTGAGAATTGCCATGTGGGCACCTTTTTCTTATGTGTTTAACTGGCTGGTCTGGCTGTTTCCCATGCCAACTATGGGCAACCTCGGTTCACTGTTTGTACCACCTGTTGTGGGACGGGCCATGTTGTTTGTGGGATCGTTGGGGGTGGTGTTGATCATGTATGAGCTTGTTGACTTGTTTGTACCCCCGGCGGTCATTCATATAGTAACATTTCTGTCTACCATACAGTCTGGATATTGGTTCATCTCCCTGCTGGTGTTATCATTTTTGTTGGGCCTGGTCATTGGCAAAACAATCTAACATTTGCAAATGCCCGAAAGACACAGGAGTCATGAAATGCAGATTAAAAAATACATACTCCTTTCTTCTGGGAAGATCATTGCAATTTTTTTTTCCTTACAGCTTAGCTTAAGAAATAGTCTAAAAATAAAACAAATTTTTTAAAAAGCAAGAATCCTAATTGGTAAATACAAACTGCTTTTTTTTATGATTATTCCAGATTGTTATTAACTGTCTTCACAGTAATTGGTTACCGCTGAGGGTATAGCTCTTCTGCATTGACTTGTGTGTTGGCTTGTAAAAGCACTTCTGGCAAAAAAATAGCTTTAGATAATTGCAGGACCTTCATTTATGAGAGGTGAAACTGTAGAGCTCCTCTTTGTTCTTGCTGCTCCCAGAGTACAATTACAAGGAGTAAAATTATTTCATATAGATCTATGTGTTTCTTCTGCTTATTTGTATCAATAGAAGACTGTTGAATTTGTTCTTATTACAGGCTATGGAGTGAAGCCATTTCCTTTTTTCACTGCTCTAACCTTGATTTTTTAAAAAGGGCCACTGCAGCTGTTCAGTATGTCTTGGGATTCATACTAAAGAACTTTATAAACAAGTATCAGAACTGCATGTAACTTTGATAAAATATACATGAATCCTAGAGAGAGCTCTGCAACAGGAAGCTAAAGGGTTTTTATTTGATTGAGAGCATTGCTAGGGCTGGTGGGGGTTCCTTTGTATATTCTCCTGCACAGAAAATAGCTGCAAACCTATAATCTATGGGCAATACATTGCCACTGTGAGCCGTCAAGGGGAGATTTAGTGCTGAAATCAAACCACACTTCTGAGGTCTTTACAGCTATGCTCCTTGCAGTTGTCTTTGTGTTTCTGGGGAAGCGAGGAAGGCATAACAGTAAAAAGAGTTTGGGACAGGTGTGTAGAACAGCAGTATGTCACAAACAGGTCTTGTCCTTCTAGGGAAGGACCCAATCATGTACTTTCTCCTACTTCCCTGTTAAGTGCACTCGCTATCCACAGAGCTGGAGGACAGTGATTCCTTGCCCTGCAAAGCGAAATCATGTTTAATACTATTCCGCCCCCTCTTCCAAGGGCTTAAATCTCCTTTTCATTCTTCTGGAATGCTTTAGGGCATGGTATAAGTAAAAAGCAAGGAAGGGACTTGCAACTTGGCTCACCAAACAAGCACAGAAGTTGGAACACATTTGAGAGATTTCTCCCGTGGTCTGTAAAGCAGCATTCCTGGCAGCAAAGCACCACAGCCAATATGGTATTGTTTTCTACTCACTGTGGTGGGAGCTCCCTGTCGTTCAGAAGCCACAGATAGTTATGCTGCTTTGAACCTTTTCTTGCCATCATCTTGCCTATTTTAAGGCTTTTATTACTTTGTTAGGACCCAGGCATCCTCTTCCAGCCAAAGAGCCATCTTACCCACCTGTGAGCACCTCCCTGAGGAAATGGAGCAAATCCCCACCCAGCACAACAAAGCCAGCACAAGCTCTGGTGCCACAGCTTCACCTTCAGTGAGGTTTGGAAGTGTGGCTGGGGAAAAAAAAAATGAAAAAATTTAGAACTTCTGTGGCTGAGTCGTCCCAGTACAGAACTAATGCTCAGATCAGATTTGGCCCCTCAAGGTATTGTAAGATTAAAGCAGTTTTAATTTCTGCTGAGAGACTACATGAGGCAAAGAGTAAGAACAGTTCTAGTTCTCTCTCTGCTTAGAATCCACTCTGACATGTGCTGAGCACTTGCTGTGACAGCCAGGGGCTGCAGTCCATACTGATACCCCCTGCTCAGGCTTAATTTTAGATTCTTTCATTTCCATGTAGACATATTTTCTCACTTTTTCCCTCCCTTTTGGCAACACTCATACTCCTCTGAAAAATGTATCCTTTATGAATACTGTGTTATTAAGTATCTATACTTCAGAGGAAGATGCCCAAGCATAATTTCTTCAGTACATTCACAGATGGGGTCATCTCATGCAGCTCAAGTGAGTATGAAGGAGAAAAGCTTTCATGAAGAGTGGAATGCTCTGTGTGCCAGAGCCATTGCTAGAGCTTCCTGCATATGCAAGTCTTTGGTCTGACATCACTTCAGACACCCTAGCTGTGTTTCTCTTTCCATAGTCCTTCTGCTACTTTTCCAGTTTCTCACACCTGCATGCTGCTATGGAACAAGATCTGTGGCACAGAGGGTTGAAGAAACTCCTCCTGCCCACAGTTTCCTACCTCCCTCAGACTTGATGGACATCTAGCATAGCAGAAAAAAAAAACTTAATCTGCTGCCTACCAACCCCTGTCTAGTGTATGTACCTGGTAAGCAGTGAGGCTGGGCTTGTGCTTTATGTAATTTGGCAACTGGTGTACCTGCTGGTATGCTAAAGATGTATCAGCTGTGAAAGATCTTCTGGTAAAACCAATCACCACAAAGCAATCCCACACCTCTACCCTGGTTTCTCAGCTACTGAAGTGGTCTCTGAAAACAGCAGAAGGCATCCTCTTACCTACCTCTATATTCACAGACATCACAGGAGAAATCTAGATCTGTTTTTCAGAGCCATTCATACCTGCAAAACTGGGATTCCTCACCGCCAATCACAGTGGACCATAAGGATAATGATATTGGATCATACCAAAGAGGCGTTTAACCATATCTGATACAACAAAGTCAATAGAAAAACCCTTTCTGATGAAACAGAGCCAAAAGAAAAAGCTTTTGTTCCTCATGATGGATATGGTGATCACCCATACATTCAATTCCATTCCTTTTGCTTTGCTAAGAGGCCATAGGAGCAACAGCAGCACAGAAGAGGAGCAAAAGAGGCAGAAATACTGAGACTGGCAGCAGTGGGCAACAAAGCATGAAACAAGAGAAAAAGTAATGCAAAATCCAAGAGCCAGACATGAGCACGCTCCAGATTTTAACCAGATTAACATATCAACATTGCTACAGAGCAGAGAAGGTGCCCCATCTTCTGTTGGCACAGAGCCTCAGTTGCAGAAACACAATCAAGTTGCTCTTCAGCTGCTTCAGCTGAATTAGCTTTGCTCTCAGAGTAATTGGAACAAGCTGAAAGAATTACTATTTCTCCATTCTTTATGCAGATTTTATTAAAAGAATAAGTAAGTGAAGGTAGAATTAAGCAAACATTTCACTAAGATTAACCTGCACTAACCTCACTAAAGGATTAGGAAAGGAACAATACAGTGATCAAATCAGGGTCATCAGGGCTGAATCAGCAAATCTAGAGGCTTTAATTACTCACACACCAAATAAACCCAGAGCAGGGCCCCTAAATCAAAGCCGAAATCCACACTACCTTTCATGAGAATAATCTGCTTTGGGTTAATTCTATGTCAAGGATTAAAAAGGAAGCCACTTCCCCTCCTGGTACAGTCACAAGCAGTGCTCCAGCATTGGCTGCACTGGAGCTGAACTGCAGCACTCATCTCCAAGGGTCAGACAAAAGTGGCTTTTCCCTGGCTGCTTCTCTTGGTGGCGATTTGTTGCTCCCAAAGGTCCTTTTTCATCATGTTCCCTGGAGCTTGGAGATCCTCAGGTCTCCATCTGGGAAAGACAAGGGTAGATGGGTGCCCATCAGGGCTGCTGCCAACTCAACACTCTCCTCTTTGCTATTGCCATTGGTATGTTTAAGCCATTGTCATTCTTACCTCATTAGCTTTATTAGCTGCAGCAATTAAAAACAAAGCATGGGAATGTCAGCAACAATCATTACTTGGAGGCGTTCAAAGGCCGTAAACTTATCATAACTCCTCATTTGTTTTCCAAAATCATATTAGGCCTGCATTTTTCAAAGGCTGCACATTATTTTTAATAACACTGAAATGTTCATTTAATATGCGTTTCTTCACTAGCTCCCTGCTATAAGCTGTTATTGCTTTACTAAAAGAAAATTCAGTGTATTTTTGAAAATGTTATTAACTATACAGATATTTTGTAAAAAAAAATGGAATGTAACCAATAAAGCAGCATTCTCCTGGGGCTTTTTGTCTGTAAGCAATTAAAAAAGAAAACTGGGTTACTGGAGTGGGAATTCTGCACTTGCCTTGCAGGTTCTGTTGAGGGAAAGGCGACTGGCTTGTCCCAGCCTTGGGACAGCTTTGGCTGGGAAGAAACCCCAGCCTGGAGAAAATCACCAATTCAGCCCCTATCCCACAGTGAAATCCTAATCCAGAGGACTCCTTTGCAGATCCAGACATGGAGAAGAAACAGCA